GAAACTCACTACCTATCTAAACTAAACAAACAGAGATAGAACAACTAGATAACTTATAACAAGAGATTGAAAAGGTAATTTAAAAACTCCCAACAAAAAAGCCCTAGCCCTGATGGTTTCACCAGAGAATTCTACCAAACTTTCAGAGAAGAGTTAACACCACTACTACTGAAGGTATTTCACAGCACAGAAAAGGATGGAATACTCCCAAACTCATTCTATGAAGCCAGCATAACCCTGATACTAAAACCAGGTAAACACACCACAGAAAAAGAAAATTACAGACCAATATCCCTCATGAACATAGACACAAAAATCCTCACCAAAATTCTAGCCAACAGAATTCAACGTATCAAAAAAATAATTCACCATGACCAAGTGGGATTCATACCAGGCATGCAAGGATGGTTCAACATTAGAAAAACAATGAATGTAATCCATCACATAAATAAAACAAAAGACAAGAACCACATGATCTTATCAATTGATGCAGAAAAGGCATCTGACAAAGTCCAATACCCATTCATGATAAAAACTCTCAACAAAATAGGAATAGAAGGAAAATTCCTCAACATAATTAAAGGCATTTATACAAAGCCAACAGCCAACATCATCTTAAATGGAGACAGTCTGAAAGCATTCCCCTTGAGAATGGGAACCATACAAGGATGACCTTTATCACCATTCTTATTCAACATTGTGCTGGAGGTCCTAGCCAGAGCAATTAGGCTAGAAAAAGAAATAAAGGGCATCCAAATTGGTAAGGAAGAAGTAAAAGTTATCTCTGTTTGCAGATGATATGATCTTATACACAGAAAACCCCAAAGAATCCACAAGAAAACTACTGGAACTAATAGAAGATGTCAGCAAAGTTTCAGATACAGGATAAACATACAAAAATCAGTTGGATTCCTTTACACAAACAAAGAGAACTTCGAAGAGGAAATCACCAAATCAATACCATTTACAATAGCCCCCAAGAAGATAAAATACTTAGGAATAAATCTAACCAGAAATGTAAAAGACCTATACAATGAAAACTACAAGACACTACTGCAGGAAACCAAAAGAGACCTGCGTAAGTAGAAAAACATACCTTGCTCATGGATAGGAAGAGTTAACATTGTGAAAATGTCAATTCTACCCAAAGCAATCTACAGATACAATGCAATCTCAATCCAAATTCCAATGGCGTTTTTTAACGAGATGGAGAAAGAAATCACCAACTTCACACAGAAAGGGAAGAGGCCTCAGATAAGTAAAGCATTACTGAAGAACAACAAAGTGGGAGGCCTCACACTACCTGATTTTAGAGCCTATTATACCACCACAGTAGTCAAAACAGCCTGGTACTGGTACGACAACACATACATAGACCAATGGAACTGAGAATCTGGACGTAAATTCGTCCACCTATGTGCAGCTGATACTTGACAAAGGCCCAAAGTCCGTTCACTGGGGAAAAGACAGTCTCTTTAACAAATGATACTGGCATAAATGGATATCCATCTGCAAAAAAAAGAGACCCATACCTCACACCAAGCACAAAAACTAACTCAAAATGGATCAAAGCCCTAAATATAAAATCTACAATGATAAAGACCATGGAAGAAAAAATAGGGACAACGCTAGGAGCCCTAATACATGGCATTAACAGAATACAAACCATAAGTAACAATGCATAAACACCAGAAGTGAAACTAGACTGGGAGCTCCTAAAAATCAAACACTTATGCTCATCAAAAGACTTCACCAAAAGAGTAAAAAGACCACCTACGGACTGGGAAAAAATTTTTGGCTACAACGAACCTGATCAGCATCTAATCTCTAAAATCTACAAGATACTGCAAAACCTCAACAACAAAAAGACAAACAACCCAATTAAAAAATGGGCAAAGGATATGAACAGGCACTTCGCCAAAGAAGACATTCAGGTGGTTAACAGATACATGAGGAAATGCTCACCATTATTAGCCATTAAAGAAATGCAAATCAAAACTACAATGAGATACCATCTCACCTCAACAAGGTGAGCATTAATCAAAAAAAAACACAAAATAATAAATGTTGGAGAGGTTATGGAGAGACTGGAATACTTATACACTGCTGGTGAGAATGTAAAATGGTACAACCACTTTGGAAATCAATTTGGTGCTTCCTTAAAAAGCTAGAAATAGAAGTACCATACAATCCAGCAATCCCGCTCCTTGGAATATATTCTAGAGAAATAAGAGCTGTCACACTAATAGATACATGCACACTCATGTTCATTGCAGCACTATAAAGAGATGGAAACAACCCAGGTGCCCATCAACGGACGAACAGATAAACAAATTATGGTATATTCACATAATGGAATACTACGCAACAATAAAGAACGATGAATCCACGAAACATCTCATAACATGGAGGAATCTGGAAGGCATTATGCTGAGTGAATTTAGTCAGTCACAAAAGGACAAATATTGAATAAGACCACTATTATAAGAACTCAAGAGAAGGTTTAAACACAGAAGAAAACATTCTTTGATGGTTACAAGGGTGGGGAGGGAGGGAAAGGGATATTCATTAAATAAATAGTAGAGAAAAATTATCTTAGGTGAAGGGAAAAACAACACACTACAGGGGAAGTCTGCACAACTGGACTAAACCAAAAGCTAAAAGTTTCCTGAATACAACCAAACACTTCGAGGGACAGAGTAGCAGGGGCAGGGGTCTGGGGGCCATGGTTTCAGAGGACATCTAGGTCAACTGGCATAAGAAAGTTTATTAAGAAAATGTTCCGCATCCCACTTTGGTGAGTGGCATCTATGGTCTTAAAAGCTAGTGAGCAGCCATCTAAGATGCATCAATTGGTCCCAACCCACTTGGAGCAAAGGAGAATGAAGAACCCAAAGACACAAGGAAAATATTAGCCCAAGAGACAGAAAGAGGCACATATACCAGACACTTCATCAGCCTGACACCAGAAGAACTAGATGGTGCCTGGCTACCACCAATGACCACCCTGACAGGGAACACAACAGAGACTCCCTGACACAGCAGGAGAAAAGTAGGGTGCAGAACTCAAATTCTAGTAAACAGACTTAATGGTTTGACTGAGACTGGAGGATCCCCGGACGACATAGCCCCCGGACTCTCTTTAGCCCAAAACTAAAACCATTCCCGAGGCCAACCCTTCAGACAAAGATTAGACTGGACTATGGGACATAAAATGATACTCATGAAGAGTGTGCTTCTTAGCTCAAGTAGTACATGAGACTAAATGGGCAGCTCCTGTCTGGAGGCGAGATGAGAAAGCAGAGAGGGTCAGGAGCTGGTTGAATGGACACAGAAATCCGGGGTAGAAAGGAGGAGTGTGCTGTCACAGTATAGAAAGAGCACCTAGGGTCACGTAACAATGTGTGTATAAATGTTTGTATGAGAAACTAACCTGAATTGTAAACTTTCACTTAAAGCACCATTAAATAAAAAAAAGAGGGCGCATGCTGTCACACTGTGGAGATTGCAACCAATGTCACAAAACAATGTGTATGTTTCTGAATGAGAAATTAACTTGAGCTATAAACTTTCACCTAAAGCACACAAACACAAAAAAAAATCCTGCTGACTCTTCCTTCAAATAATATCCCAAGTCTGACCACCTCCAACCATTCCCACTATTAGCAGCCTGTGGCAAAGCTTCCATCGTTTTCACCAGGAATATTTTAATGGTATCCTAACTAGTCTCCCTGCTTCTACTCTCCCCTTTGTAGCCGGAGGGATGCTTTAAAAATCCAAGTTAGAGTCCCTATTTCTCTTCTTAAACGTCCCCAATGGCTTCCCATCTCTCTCATAAACCAAAGTCCTCCAAGGCCCTACAAGATCTGATCCCTCTTTCCTAGTCTTTGGGCCTCATTTCGTACTTTTCTCCTCGGCCATGGCAGGCTACTTGCTTCACCACCAACATACCCAAAACATACCACCTTTGATCCCTTGCACTTACTATTCCCTCTGCTTAAGAAAGTCTTCCTCAAGTCCATACAGCGTGCTCCTCACTTCATTCAGGTCTCTATTCAACGTTCACCCCCTCAGAGCAGCTTTGCTTAGCCACCTTCTAAAACTGGACTCTTTACCACTCTCTTCCCTTCATCTCCCTTGACCGACTTTTCTTTATTCAGTAAGCACTTACCATCTGACTTACGTAACAGTTTAGTCTCCCCAAACTAAAATATAAGCTCCTTAAGGAACTAAGACAATATTCTGTTCAATGCTGTATTCCAAATTCCTAAATGTGTTTGGTGTATAGTAGGCAAGAGTAAATTTTAAGAGAATGATGACTTCTTCCGTGAACACATCAATATAAATGTGTCTTATTCTATAATTATTACATAAAAGATAAAAAATAAAATAAAAAAACCATTGCCGTCAAGTCAATTTTGACTCCTAGTGACCCTATACGACAGTACATTCAAACAGGACAATTTATTTAACTAGTCCCTTACTGACACAGGCATTTAGACTGTTTCCTAATTTTGTAACTACAAACAACACTGCTGTGAATATCCTTGTATGTTAGTCTTGATGACCTTACAGAAACACATCTAAGAAACTCCCAGAACAGCTAAGACTGAAGTATGAGCATGTTACATTTTACTAGATACTACAAGACAAACATCATTCCTTAATTAATGTAATTTTATTACCTAAATATTTCAAAAGGTATTTGTAATTCAAGAGTGACAATAAAAGGACTATAAATTAGGGTTCCCCAAATTTGCCATTATCTCTCACAATCCATGATTATATGACGTCTTCTTCCTCTAAGAAAATTTTTACAACCTTCAGTGGAAAAAAAGAGGCAAAGTTCCAAACCTACTTAATCCTCAACTACTATAGACTGCTTTGGTTATCTACTCTTCCATTTCTTGCTCCCCTCTCCAAGTACTGATGAGCTGGTGGGGAGGGGGGAATGAGATCTCATGGTTATGTTCTAGAAAGAATATTCTCAAACGCCATACCTCATCTCGTCTTCCACCATTAAAAGAAGAGCTAAAGAGTTTGCTGCTACTGCCGCCCCTTTCAGGAGGCATCTTATTAAAAGTTTTGCTTTTCTGTGCATTGGAGCGACGGGACTGGTTGCTAAAATTTTCATTTTTGGTGTAGGAAGGTTCACGTTTACGATTAAAACGCCTGGATCCATTTGAGCTCTTTCCGTCTGAAAGGAAAAAAAGAAAATTAAGAAATGATCCATGTACTTGGCCAATTTTTTTCCATATCCCAGCAACATTATGTTTAGACAAGGCTGGACAGGCTCTTCCACATCCGCTAAGAAATCTGAGTTTGGGCCAGAACATTAGTGCTTTCAGCAAGACATCACACAGTCAAGGGTTTCTCTGTTTTCTTTTGTTTTACATAATGAAGCCTAAGGAGTCCATCACTCAACACAAATACAATACAGTGTCTAACCAATAGATGTCTCTCTTTTTCACAGTTTAACCACTGCTCTTGTAAAAGTCCATTCAGACAAAGTGACAAGAAAGGGGACAGCCATTCTACATTAGAGAAAAAGTATTTTATCTGGAGACAGGACAGAAAACATTATTCCCCTTTAAATTACTACACCATAGCTAGATTCTATACTGCAAAGGCTTGGCCTAGGCCTCACCACATATACTCAAACCCACTGCCACCCAGTCAATTCCGACTCAAGAGCAAAACAATATTTATCTATGTTCTAGAGGCCAAACTGAGAAGCTATTAAACTGACAGAACAAAAGAAGTTGACCCTTACAAGCATATTAGATCAGCACATATTGTTATATCCTTTTAAAAAATGTTTATTGCTTTTTTTTCCTAAGAATATAGGCTCAATTTTTTAAATCTGGAAGAATATAAAGTTGCCAGTACTCACAGAATATCAGTCTATCAGCGTGTTTAATTTCCTTTTAACCTCATTTTATACTTTTACCATGTTTTATACATAATTAAAAGCATACAAGAGATACTCTCGTCTACTTACTACTCCATGGGCATTTTCATGCATCCCTAGTCTTTCAAAAATGATTAAAAGCTGCACTGTTATTCCACCATATGCTTATGCCATAATATATAACCAATCCCCTATTATTCCACATTTAGGTGGCTTCTAATTTTTTGCTAACTTAAGATATAGTACTTCGAGGCCTGTATATATGATTATTTTGCTATGTTAAATTCTCAAAGTTGGGTTAGCAGATGAAGTTTGATCATTAAAGGCTTTTACATGTCGGCAAGCTGCTTTCCACAACTGTGATACCAGTTTATGTCCTAACATCACTAAGAGAGAATGTCTAGTTCATTACACTCTTGCTAACACTGGCTGAATGAACTGTTTAACTGATGAGTCAAACTGGTTTGCTTTAAAATTGAATTTCTCTGATAATTAGCAACAAACACTCTTTCAATCTGTTAACCATTTGCATTTTGTGGGAAGAGCCTGTGTGTGCTCTCTGCTCAATTTTTTCTACTGGGGAAATGAACTGCACGGATTTTTTTGTCCCAAATTGAACAAAGAACCCTGACCAGATACACGTAACACTTGCCAAAGTATACCTGCTCAAAATAGTAAAGTAACACCTATCTGAGAATTGTATACAACTAAATAACTAAAGAGGTCCCCAAATTAGTCTTTAGCCAAAAATGACTATTTTTTCTTTCTTGTCCCTTCACTCTCTCCATGTTGTCCTACCTCAGTATGGAAATCTGACCAAGTCTGCATACTAACTTAATGGCTTTAAAAGCAAAAACTTGGGCAGAATTGGAAGTTGAAGGATTTTTAATAAAGAAATCCATTAAGCTTACCCTCAAGCTTTAAGGGAGTCGTGGTAGTGGCTTACAAAGTCGAGGGGATTCCAGCATGAGCCTCAAAGTGTTTTCCAAATATAGTTTAATCCTGTTATGTTAAGTATATATAAATATTAATAGAAACATGTCTGGAAAGGATACAAGCTGTTAGTAACAATTACCTTTGAGAACTGGAGCTGTTCACTTTTACCCTATTACCAGTTCACTGGTATCACCCAGATGTGCTTTTAAGGAATTCCTATCCTCAAGCCTCACCTCTAAGATTCTGACTTAAATGTACAGAATCACTGTTCCGTATACTTACTACTAGGGTAATTTTAAAAACTAAGTATTTAGAAGAAACTATTTCTAAACAAGCTTATTTTATAGCAGACTAAATCCAAGATAGAGCAAAGTTTCACAGAAAAGGAAATGTAAGCTTATAAACCAAGTCCAAATGCTGAAAGCAACCATTTCACACTCATAATGTATCAACCTCACAGGATGAATGAGAGATAACGCCATCCTGTCCAAATCTGACCAAATTATGACCTGGGAGTCAAACTAATAGTCAGGTGAGACAGTGGTATAAACAGAACAGATGTTCACAGAAACATAGCCAGGCCAGGCTCACTCCTACCCGTTAGCTTTAAACCCCAGTTAGGGGCAGTGATCAGGGTTTAATCTGAAGTCAGAAGTTAAGAACTACACTTCCGCGTACTACTCAGCAACAGTTAATGTTAAACGTGGTAACAATTAGAAAGTGAAGTTTTAGTTCTCATACAAACTTTGCCTTGTTTCCAACCCATGGAATTAGTTTATAATTAAGATTTCAACATGTACTAATTGGTTTGATAGCATGTTTTGTTATGTATATATTTTCATCACAATAAAATTAAAGATTTCAAATAAATGGAAAATTCAAGAGGATACAGAACCCAGTTAGCTCTTTACCCCTGAAAAATAACCTCAGCCACATGTTCCTGCTTTGCTTTTCTTAACCCCATTCACATCACCTGGTGAGAACCAATGAGGTCTTAGGAAAAGGATGGGCGTATACCGAGAACACATACTCGCCAAACCTCACTTCCCAAGACAGTTTGAGATGATCCTACAGTGGATCCTGACTGTTGCTTTCATACAGAGAACACAAATATGACTAAACAAGAACAACACCTCTCATGGTTTGGTAATGCCAGATTCTACAGTGCAAAGGCTTAAGAAAGTAAGCTGGCACTTGGCAAGAGGGCTGTTTTCATTTCTTCACTCGTTACCACACGGGTAAGGAAACGTTTCATAATGCTTACAAAACTGCTATCTGAAGAACAATGAACCGCTCATTTCTAAAACAGATTACAACAAATAACCACATTACAGATTAATTTTAGCTGCTAAAATCAACTACCCCATCTTGTCTTCTGCTTACCTAAGGGTACGAAGTCAGACATCTCAAGTGAGAGACTAGCCCTTATCTCTAGACACAGGCAACAGGCAGCTAAAGATTGAAGGTACAGTCAGGCTTGGGACTCAGAGATAAAATTCAGAATACTATTTTTTAGATGTTTCTTGCCAGGATACACATGTGAATAACTTGGAGGTAGAATATGTCCTTCCTTCTTTGATAGGAGATAGCAATATGACCAATGAGATGATCCGCTTTAGATTTTGGAAAACAGACAAAAAAAGTTCCCAGGAGAAACACATCGCTGAAAGGTTTAAATCTCAGAGTGGTGGTTCTCAATCCTGGCTGCACCCTAGAATACATGCAGAGACTTTTAAAACTATCAGTGCCCAGGGCTCAAGAGCCCAACCCAGACTTTAAGAATCAGAAAGAATGGCTAAGGAAGGGCCCACACATCCCCATTTTTAAAAAAGGTCCTCAAGAGACTCTGATGCACAGCCAGATTGAGAACAACTGCCAAGAACTACTGTCAAGACACATTCCAAAATGGACAAGACCATTAGTTAAGTTAAATGGCTCAAATCCAGAAATCAGGAGCCCAGAGTCAACAAATAACCAAAAAAAAAAAAAAAAAAAAAAAAAACCAAACCCATTGCCATCAAGTCGATTCCAACTCAGTGACCCTATAGGACAGGGGAGAACTGTGCCATAAGGTTTCCAAGGGGCAAACTGTCATGTCTTTCTCCTGCAGAGTGGCTGGTGGGTTCAAACCTCCAACCCTTCGGTTAGTAGCTGAGCTACTTGACAAATGCAGCCACCAGGGCTCCTAGAGTCAACAAATAAGAGACTTAAAAACTTAATCCAGTGTCTCAATTGTTCCACATTACCCTAACAGAAAGGTTTCTACCAAATAATAGCAGGCATATACCTCAGTCTCTTCCCCCCATTACCAAGCTAAGGGCCACCAATTTTTCAGAGTTAAATCACTTGGCATCATCAACATTTCTAGCTCTAGTTCTGACAGGTGGCACAGCCCAGAGGTCAGAATACCAGCCAGGAAGTTTCTGCTGCTGATTCATGCTGTAATCACAAGCAAGTTGCTTACCAATCATCCAAAGCGGATGACAAGCACCTCTTGAGGGGCAACATATGGCCTTACTGCAGAATCAACTGACAACAAATTGAATTCAGCTGAAACCAGTAATTTGCATGAAGGGGAGAGAGAGGTGGTATCAGGACTGATGCATGTGCCAGTAAGTTACTTGCTTCCTAAGTGAGTTTTTACGAAGTGCTATTTGTAAACATCACCTAAGACTTAGAATTTACTTGGACAAATCACTCTAACCCCTCTAAGCCTGCATTTTCTTGTCTGTAATGTGAGTATATTCTACCCTCCCTCCTCACAGGGTCACAAGGAGTAAGAGAAAACCTCTGTAAAATGCCTACCACAGTGGTTGGCACATAGCTGCTATGACTTGAAAGCCTATTACTAATAAATCCAAATCATTCTGGCAAAAGCACCACTGGACTTCCAACAAAGTCACATAAATCAAGGACTCTAGCCAACAGGCCCTGAAACTCTTATAAGCACTCTAAGTGGTTTTTATTGAAGACTCCAAGTCACCTCAATTTTTCAAAGCCTAAAGGCTTTGAAATCTCCAGGTCCATTTACACCTCAGAGGTATTGTTCAAGGCATACTACCACTAGTAACGTGGCTTCTGGTACCGGAATAACAGGAATAGTGTGAGGACAGTGCTTCATACCACCAACCTCAAAATAACTGCTTCATAATACCTGACCTTCCCTTAACCTCCATAGTAGTACCATCCCCCAGCTAGGGAGATGGAGCAAGAGCCTGGTTCCTGACCAGGTTCCACTGTTTGCTCATAAACTGCCCAGCCTCTCTCTTGCCTCTTTTTACTTTCTTTGCTCTTTTCAAATGACTTTCCCCACCCCCAACCCACCTCTCTCCTCTGGGCTATATTCATGGGATAGTCACTGTAAGTTCTTAGAACTGGATCTTAGCCCTACTGGAATAAACCTGTAGGAATATGCCCAAGAACAGGAATGTCACATGACGTCTTAAGCAATCAGCTGAGGCAAAGAAACTGTAGTATGCCACTCTGGCCGGAAAGATCAAGAAAATCCTAGAGCCAAGTTTCCCTATTTCCTGTGTACAAATAAAGGGCAAACTTAAGCCAGCCACAGGAACAGACTCAAGTATATTAATCATGAAGCTAGGAAGCAAATGACCATTCATAACATACCCAGCTGAGAGAATAGAGACCAAAGGTTTCCCCCCTCCCATCATGTGAGGTAGGAAAGGGAGAAAGGAAAAGAGTGTATCATTCACACAAATATTTAAAAATTGAAAAACTCTTGCTCTTTTTACCTAGACAGAAGAAAGTTATTTTTTACTTCACCCTTCCTGTTCTTCCTTCATCGTTCAACTCAGAAACTCAAGATGCCTAGGAGAATGAAGTGTATCAATCAAGTGTTTAGCCAAATTTTGAAATACTGAAGAAACCTTTTTAAGGAATTATGCTGAACTTGAGTCTTGTATCCTTTGTTAGAGCAGCCATCTAGAAGTCACTGTATTAAGGTCCTGAATGTATCTGTTATAGCAGCACTGGTCTAAGTTATCATGTTTTTAAAATACATACTCTACCCCTCAGTTCAACCTCAAAAATTCACCAATATCCAGAGTTTCCTATTTTATAATCCCTACCTACTCTGCCTTTTAATTTGTTCCTAAATGGAAGCAGTGGATTATGGTTGGTGATGAGCTATTTCTTTAGCTACAAACCCACTCTTCCTTTTTGCAATACATATACACATACACAGTAATAGCTAAAAAGGTAACTTGTCAAGGCAAGTATCGTCAAGCTTTCTGACATTCAACAAAAATTACTGCTACCAGAAGGTACACCGGTCTCTTTCATAAAATCTAGCAAAGTTCCTGTTCATAAGGCAACCCAATATATACTTATAACTCGAGGTCCTTTATGTGAGTTTTTATTTCCCTCCTCAGAAGCTTTCGATTAAGAAAGAGCACAAGTGCTTTAAGTACATTTTATAGTATTTAACTGTAATTAAACAACAACAAAAAAACAAAAGTCACTTTAGGTAGTCAGAATGAACCCAGAAATTAGTATTTATCTATACAACTCTGTTTGAAACGTGACCACTATCAAATAATGCTTTGGTCACACTACAACAGAATTCCGTATCATCCTGCTGGGTAGAATTAGTTCCACTTTAATCAACACCTTCAAAGTCAAGGACATATGAGTAAAATTCCTTAAGTACCTCTGTTTTTGCGTTTGTTTTATTTTGTTTGGGATGTCACACCTTTCACTTACTGCCTAGGAAATAAACTTAAGATATTTATTGCAACTACTCATGAGTGTACTTTAGTGGCATAAACAGGAGCCCCAGAAAAATCAGTTGAGAATTCATATAGCTGGAGAACAAAATTCTTAACTTGACATCAGGAAATAGTGTACAAAAGTTATTTATCAACTACACTGGGAAATATTCACATCACTCTAAACTGGTTCCAACACTGGCCAAGAGGAATGGCTACCTTATAGAAGGATCTGTGACAGAACTATACATACATGTGCAAAACCCCAGAATTAATCTACACTCTACTTTCTGAGAGTCCACACTAATCCCTTGGCTATTTAAAGCATTCTTTTATTATGAAGACAACTGGTCTCCATCTGAGTTCCACAGCAATCTCTAGAAGTCCTTGGCACATAAGATAAATAACTTTGCTATACCCAGCAGGTAAACTCTGAAATCAAATCAGACCTACAATTTTTAACCTTAAAATTTTTTAAACAACTGGGCCTCTGTATATGGTGACTGTTTCCCTCTCTGAACACACACCCATCCACATTAAAAAATCTTCCTCTTACAGTTTAATACAATCACAATACAAAAAACAGCAGAGATTATTACATGGGCTTTGAAGATAGAGACTATCTGACTCCAGACTCTGCCAAATGGCTACCTCATGGCCTCTCAGATTATTCCTTCATCTTTAAATAGGAATAATTTCACCCTTCTGGACAGGTTAGTGCCTAGGGTAGTGATAATAAAGGTAAAAAGAAGTAAAAGCCTAGCCAAGTACCTGGCACGTGGTAAGGCCTCAATAAACGGTAGCTACTATCATCATTATGGTCATAATTTAACATTCGGAGACGTGACTACAAAAATGACAAAATCTTCCCTTTAAGAACGATATCAGAGCCGAACACACGGAAATAGGCATAATGTACATTCGGTGCATAGTAGATGTCAGGTACTCCTCAAAGCCCTTAGTTCTTTTATTTTTCTAGTTAATTCGTATCATTCTATTATCTCCATCTCTATAGATAAGGAAACTCAGATATCTAGTAAACTGTGGAAGTTAAAAAGAGGAAATCCAGAATCTTGCTCTTAATCACTAGCCCAGACTGAAAAAAGCCATTTAGGGATAGGCTCTCTTCAACAGAGGGATGGGACCCGGGGCCAGGTTATTAAATATCAGCTTTGAGTTTGAAAGCCCTTGGGCCCCACCCTCCCCTGTTCAAATTTGAACACTACGAATGCTAACTCAACATTAAAGGGTAGGACATATGATGGTTATAGAAGCGTGGACTGATGAGTCAGATAAAACAGATCTCGGGCTGTAAAGCATGTACTACTGGGCGGCCTTATCGTTTCTGAACCTCGGTTTCCTCATCTGCAAAATGGGGATTAAAAACAGCACGTACTTCACCGAGCTGTTTCGAGTATTAACGCAAGGATTCACGTAAATCTCGCATTACAACGCTCATTAACTGTTAACTGCAAATACTGGGAGCCACGGAGGGAATGAGAGGAAGAAACCAGAGTAGGAAGCGGAGCGTGTCCCTGAGTGACCCCAGGAGACAAGAGTGAGGGCCCATCCTCAGCTGAAGGGCAGTCGCGCCCCGCCCGACACCGTGGGGGCCGCCCTTACCGCTCTTGGGTTTAGACTCGCCGGCCGGCCCCGCCGAGGCGGAGCGAGGCGGCTGTTGCCCTTTGCTGCTGCCCGAAGAGGCGGAGGAGCTGCTGGAGCCGCTGTTCTTGTCCATGTCGGAGGCGGTGGCGGCGGCGCTGGGGGAGCTCTGCGGCATCAACGGGGGCCTTGGCGGCGGCAGCGGTCGGAGCGGAGCGGGTGCGGCGGGGACCCAGGCTCATGGCGTTCGGGGCCGGCGGGGGTCGGCGGAGGCAGCGGTTCTCGGCCTTCATGGCGACATTTTTCCTTGTTTCCTTCCTTGGCTTCTCAAACGGGGAAGAGAAGCGGCAGGCGGGGCTGTGGAGCCCAGTGGCGGTGCTGACGGAGAAGGAGGAGGAGGCCGAGGCTCGGAGGTCCGGGCCGGGCCTGGCGGGGCGGAGGCTGCGGGGGAAGGGGAGATGAGGGAGGGTGTGCGAGCCCCGCCGGCCGGCCGGACACGCTCTCCCACCGCGTGGAGGGAGAAGGCTGGTTGTCTTGGTGTCGGGGACGGGTGTCTCCGACACAGAGACTGACACTCGCCTCAAGCCCGAGGCCGAGCTGCTCCGGGAATGGCGACGAGTCGCCAAACAGCATCTCGAAGAACCCGGATGAACTATATATAGCCAAGTGGGTAGGCGTGGAGGGTTCTGGGAAATGTAGTTTCCGGCCTACGTCTGGCTCCTATGACTCCCCCCATTGAGAGGACGCAAGGGATGATGGGACTTGTCGTTTCCTCTAAAAACTGTTTGTTTTTTGGTCTCGGTACACTAGTAACATATATAATAATATATACTACTAATAATGATACAGCCGAGCATTGGAATACCTGCAGAATTTCTTTATGGACTCGTTTAATCTATTATTTTAATTCTAGTATTAATTGATATATGGCTTTCATTCCATCTCATATTAGTAATAATAATAAGAGTGACGTGATGAGAATACCTTACGTTTAAATATTATTTTACAACACTTCCTCATACCTTATTTCATTGTTCATTCCTTCATTAACAAATTATTGCTAATATCTCATTCCATTGCCAAAAATAATAGTAATCATTGAGTGCTTATTATCAGCAGGCACTGTGCTGTCCTGTTTACATGGGTTATTTCACATTTAATCTTCACAATAACTCGATTTTAAACACCAGGCAGCAGGTTTAGATAATTTACCAAAGATCATATAGCTAATAAGTGATGTTCTCAACCACCTGTTAGATACCGGTTCCCTATTTTACAGATATGGACACTGAGACTTAGAAAATCACATATATACTTTGGAAATCACAATAAGACTAGTCTACTTGAGAGGCATTACTAATTCATCCCTTTAACAGTATGTGTATGTGATCCTATTGAATCTCAGACTACTATGGTTGGAAGGAATCATTTATAATTTCCCAGAGTACTTATGGATGAACCTGTTGCCCTAGAGTCAGTTTCGACTCGGTTCTCATGTAGGGTCGCTATGAGTTGGAATCGACTCGAGGGCAATAGGTACATGCATAAGTATTTTGGAAAATTATAAATGATTCCCTCCAACCATAGTAGTCTGAGATTCAACAGATCACATACACATACTGTTAAAGAGATGAATCAATAGTGCTTTTCAATTAGACTGAACTTATTTAGTTAGAAGTCCATTATGTGCCAAGCACTGTGCTGGCACAAGTAATGCCAATATATATTAAGATTGAGGCGTTTAATAAACTCAGTGTCCTGAGTTAGACAGTTAAGCAAATAGGAAACTATAACACAAGAATGTGATAAGAGCTGTAAGAAAGTTAACTACAAAATGCTGTGCAGTTCTGATGAGAGCAGAGGTTTCACAAGAAAGTACAAACAGTTGGGACGGGCAGAGGAGGGCTTCCCAGAGGTAGCATCACTTGAGCTGGGCATAGAAGGACAAGTGGAATTTCATCAGATAGTCATTGAAGACTAAATAAAGAAACAAACAAAATCCAGGAACTCCTGTAATTGGTCCCTTCTTGATGCTTTTTTAATCAATTTTTTGGAATTAACAGTTTAAAACGGGATAAAAGAAATTAGATACTAATCTCCCTATTTTTTAATTTCCTTAAAATGCCCCCCATCAGTTCTTGTCCTGTTTCACCTTTTACAGTTTCTTATCCACAAGTCGTACTGAAAGGAGAGAATAGCTACTTGACTGATGGTTTGGAAACTTAATGTGCTATCCAGAAGGAACAGCCCCAAAGTTGTCTATTCTTACATATGACTAGATGTGGAAGATATACTAAGGTTCTTTGTTGCACCTATATTTAGCAAAGATGTGAGAACTCTGAGTATATGAACGAAGTATTCCTTTTTTCTGTCACTCTTAAAAATAAGAGAGGGAAAGAGAGAAATCCCAGTGCAGTACTTCCCAAATGAGAGCAGTCAGGCTATATTAAACCAGGAAGAGATTTTTCAGCTTTTGAGATCTTTGGCACTTCTCTCCTTGTGAAATATTTACAGAGAACATATATTTAAATAAAAGCAGAAACATACAGAAATCCAAGCAAAACTCACCATCTCCCTCCTTTCTTTTGCACAAGATGGTTTACAGTACCCTTTCTATAAACACAGAATGTGGAAATCTGGGGTTGAAGCAAACCGCCATGCTATGCCAGTTGGAGATAGAAATGTAATTTACTGACAGCAGGAGCCGTGATTGGTTCTGACTTGTTAAATGGATTCCAGAGCTTCCATTCGCATTTATAAACGTCCTAGGATCATAAAATGGAAAGACGAAAGAATAGTCTTTCCTATGTTTAATTTTCAGAGTAGCCTAGCCTATGTTTCTCAAAAACGGTCTGCAAATCCCTTGCATCAGAATGAGAGAAGCGTGTAAAAATAAAGATTCCTGGGACCCATAGCAGATTTACTGATTCAAAATATCTGGTATTTGGAGGCCAGGAATCTGCATTTCGAAGATCAGACCAGGCGATTCTTACGTACACCAACGTTTGCGAGAATTGACTGTGATTTCGACCTTTTACCACATCGTGTATCACTCAGTTTCCTTCTTCTGCAACAGAAAAATTGACGTTTTGGAAAACAGTTTCTCAGTATCATGCAAGTTAGTACTCGTACTACTGGTTGACAGGAGTCAGAGACATGACCACTGAGAGCTGCGTGGGACATCCGGGAGGTGACTTTAGGTTCCCCTCATTCCTGATGAATCCTAAATTCAATTTGAGAAGAGGAAGAGGAAGGGACTTCGGGTACCCACAGACAAACAGCTTCTCCGTTCCAGATATCTTGGCTCTTTAAGAGCTGGTTTCAGAACTCTCTCGACTAAGTATGTCTCTCATCGGCCGCCGTCAACTGTCTCGCGCATCAACGTGACGTCACTCTCCGGTCGCTGTCACCCGACTACTAACATGGCGGCCTCCGGGACCTGCCTTCTATGGAGCTACTGCGGCCGTGGGTGGTCGCGGGCGATGCTGGCCTGTCGGCTCCCGGGGTTTCGTAGCTCCTCGTCCGGGGGCCCTCTGGGTGCGCGGCTCTTGTCCCACGAGAAGCAGTCGACTGAAACGCACTTCGGGTTTGAAACGGTATCGGAGAAGGAGAAGGGAGGCAAAGGTGAAAGGGGCGAGAAGGCTATGGGAGGGATCTGACGGTCCACGAACTAGTTTTTTCTGCCCAGCTAAGGGTTGATTTAACGTCCTGTTATCTCTAATGCCGTAGCCTGTGCAGTCCTGACCTCCAAGGGGTCCTCCCAGCATGACCCCCTCTTTTTAAGCAGAGTAATTATTCACTAAATCCCATCAATTGCGGACCTTTGTAGACATTATTTTCAATTCTCGTTTCAACTTTCTGGTGGTGGTTAATAATATCCCCATGTTACACATTAAGAAATTGACACTTAAAGTTTAAGCAAGAACTTGTCCGATTTAACATAGTTAGTAAGTTGTGGAACCAGTATTCCAACCCAGTTTGGTCTTACTCCAGAGCTCCTGTTCTTAGTCTCTTGATAAAGGGAGAGGCCATTTTTTTAACAGAAAACTGTGCCTCAGTTTTCAGATTTGCGAAGTAGAAATCATAGTAACCCTTCCGCTTGAGTTCTTGTGAGGATTAGATTACTTAAAATAGTCAAGCACTTTGAACAGTGTCTGGCAGTTAGTCATTGTTCAGTAAATGTTAAACGTTGTTGAGCAGTTAGTTTCCTTGTGCCCAGCCCTGTGCCACAGACATGAGAAATGAACTGTTTTTAAACTCCAACTGTACCGTTTATAACGAGGAAGGTATTATGCCCATTTTACAGATGGATAAGTTGAGGCTCTGAGAGGTTCAGTCACTTGTCATAAGGTCACCCAAAGAATAAGAGAAAGAGCCCACAATGGGAGTTCCTGTGGTCTAAAAGACTGTATTGTATTGCCTCCCACCTTAACCTTACTAAGTACGTAGCTCTATTGTAACACTTTGAACATTGAATTCAAATTATTTATTTCACTGGACTGTGAATCCCCAGAAAGCTAGGCCAATGACTCATTCATTTCTGTATTCTCAGGGCCTGATGCAGACCCTGACACATTAGGAGCTTGTCATGGATTGAATTATGTCCCCCCCAAAAAATATGTGTCACCTTGTTTAGGCCTTGATTCCCAGTATTGTGTGGTTGTCCTCCATTTTGTGATCGTAATTTTATGTTAAAGAGGATTAGGGTGGGATTGTAACACCCTTATCCAGGTCACATCCCTGATCCAATGTAAAGGGAGTTTGCCTGGGGTGTGGCCTGCACCACCTTTTCTCTTACAAGAGATTAAAAAAGAAAGGGAAGCAAGCAGAGAAGAGGAACCTCATACCACCAAGAAAGCAGCACCAGGAGCAGAGCGAGTCCTTTGGACCCTGGGTCCCTGTGTGGAAAAGCTCCTAGTCCGAGGGAAGATTGATGAGAAGGCCGACAGAGAGAGAAAGCCTTCCCCTGGAGGTGACGCCCTGAATTCGGACTTCTAGTCTACTTTATTGTGAACAAATAAATTTCTTTTTGTTAAAGCCATCCACTTGTGGTATTTCCGTTATAGCAGCACTAGATAACTAAGACAGAGCTCATAACTGCGTGTGGAGTGAAATAAGGAAGCCAAGTGCAATGATAGTAAACATTTATTTAGGGCCTGGAACCTTTTTAGAAACTTTACATTAATTCTTTTAAGTATAACCCTATGAGGTAGGAACTATTAGACCAGTTTTATAGATGAAGAAACTATTGTCAGTGCCATCGAGTCAGTTCCAACTCATAATAACCCTAGGTGTGCAGAGTAGAACTGCTCCATAAGGTTTTCAAGGACGTGACCTTTCAGAGGCAGATTGCCAGGCCTGTCTTCCAAGGTGCCTCTGGGTGGATTCAAACCTCCAACTTTTCGGGTAGACAGTGCCTAACCATTTGCACCACACAGGGACTACCAAGGAAACTAGAGCAGAGAGATTAAGTTACTTAGCTAAGTTGCTTGCTAAGTGGCAGAACTGGAATTTGAATCCAGGGTGAGTTGCTTCCAAAGCCTTTGCTCTTACCCATTGCTTAATAAGAGTAATAATAATGCCTAACCTCTTTTGGGCTTTGCAATATATAAACAACATTCCCCACAGTGGCAAGTAAAGGAAGAGTTACTGACTGAGCTAAATATGATTGCACGCTGCACAGTAGTGCAGGACTGTAAAAATAATTGTGCAAGGTGAAATCATGCACAGTGATCTTAATAATCACTGGGAAAAATTATAGTTGTTCTGTGCCCGTTAAAAGTTTTTAATTTAAAATTTTTTTAAATATACTGCATTAAAATGTTTTGTTTGTAAAAATTTTTGTCCAGTACTTTGTACAGTATTTGCTGCCCTCTTCTCATTGCTTAACGTGCAATATGGAGTGAGCATCTTTTCTAGGTTTTGATCAGCTTCTAAAATTTGATCTATTGTACTTTCAATGTCATGAATATCTCCAAGAGTTCCTTTAATTTGAAATTTTTTACTGGTATCACTTCCTCTGGGACATCTTCAACCTTTTTGTCATGACCACATTCCTTGTTTATGTCAATAAGTTCATCTTCACTAAGTTCCTCTGGCTGCATATCTAGAGTCTCTTGAATGACGGCAGTGTCAATATCTGCACGGTCAACTATTTCTTTTTGTGTGTGTGCTTTAGGCGAAAATTTACAGCTCGAGTTAGTTTCTCATCCAAAAATTTTTACACGTTGTTATGTGACCCTAGTTGCAATCCCTATTATGTGACAGCACACTCCTCCTTTCCACCCCAGGTTTCCCGTGTTTATTCAACCAGCTCCTGTCCCTTTCTGCCTTCTCATCCCGCCTCTAGACAGGAGCTGCCATTTAGTCTCGTGTATCTACTTGAACTAAGAAGCACACTCTTCACATGTATAACTTTATGTTTGGTGGTCCAGTCTAATCTTTGTCTGAAGAATTGGCTTCGGGAATGGTTTTAGTTCTGGGTTAACAGAGAGTCCGGGGGCCATGTCTTCTAGGGTTCCTCTAGTCTCGGTCAGACCATTAAGTCTGGTCTTTTTACATGAATTTGAGTTCTGCACCCCACTTTTCTCCTGCTCCATCAGGGACTCGCTGTTGTGTTCCCTGTCAAGGTGGTCATTGGTGGTAGCTGGCCACCATCTAGTTCTTCTGGTCTCAGACTGATGGAGTCTCTAATTTACGTGATCCTTTTGTCTCTTGTGCTAATATTTTCCTTGTGTCTTTGGTGTTCTTCATTTTCCTTTGCTCCAGGTGGGTTGGGACCAATTGATGCACCTTAGATGGCCACCCACAACCTCTTAAGATGGTCAACTATTTCTTACATAACTCCATTGACATTTGATTCACTTTTCACTTCCAGCAATAATATTTTTTATTTCTTTTCTGCATTTTCATCTTTGTTGGCCATTTCCCTTTTTCAATTGTTCATTTTTGTAAAACGTCTCATAGGTTTGTTAGTGGGAGATAAGGTGGCAATACAACTACATGCTTTGTTGTCTGTGCGTGAACTGATGCACAGTGGCAAACCACCAACACTTTGAAAGAAGTGATATGATTGATCACTGATCGTGATGTGCATCTGTTATTTACACAGTGATTTGTGGATGAAGAACTGGCAGTGAAGTGTGTTCTTTATTTATTTATTAACTCGCAGTTAATGTACAATAATAAGTGAAATCTGAATCATGTTGTGGGGGGACTGGTGTTACTCGACTAAACTATGGAAACGGAAATTTGTGCATATTGGAACTGTGTAAAATGAGGACTGCCAGTACTCAATTGTTTTGAGACATTGTGTCACTCAGATACCCCAAAAGTAGTTCAAAAGAAAACATGTTTGGAGATCACAGGATTGAGAGCAGGCCTTCAGGATTCAGTTGAAGAGGAGCTCTGTCTGCAGTTTGCTGACTCACGGAAGAGGATGGATATGTTTTGGATCTATGCAGCACATTTCATCTGAGGAACTCAAAGCATCTGTCCTTTGTTTCCTATTTCAGCCTAACTGCGAGGAGATAGGTGGCTGGCAACAATATTGTCATCTTATGGGCAAAGAAACTGAGGTGCAAAGAAGTTAAATGTAGCCTGTGCTTGAAAGGGAAACTGTTCTAAGCATCTTGGATAGCAGATTCCTTTTCCCTGCAGTCAACCCGGATTCCACATTCCATCTTGATCCTATGAAGAAGATCCATGAGGACCCTTTACAGTCTGATTTGGCCCTAATTCACATCTTACTGTCAATCTGCCCACCAAATTGTACCTGAGGTTCTTCTCAGTGATGCAGCAAGAGATGAACTGAGGTCTTCTGATCCATTAGTCACATGTCTTTCTAATGAATTTTGTTGTTTTTTATTTTAACAGCAGTTGTTATTGTTAGCGGTCGTGGAGTCAGCTCCAACTCATGGCACCGTTATGTATAACAGAATGAACGTTGCCCAATCCTCATGACTTTTGATATGTTTGAGCCCATTATTGTGGCTATTGTGTCAATTCATCTCATCGAGGGTTTTCCTCATTTTTGCTGACCCTCTACTTTACCTTTTCTGGCGATTGGTCTTTCCTGATGACATGTCCAAAGTAAGCAAGACGAAGTTTCACCATCCTCACTTTTAAGGAGCAGGCTGGTTGTATTTCTTCTAAGGCTGATTTGTTCATTCTTCTGACGGTCCACTGTATATTCAGTGTTTTTCGCCAACACCACAATTCAAATGCATCAGTTCTTCTGTCTTCTTCTTTCATTGTCCAACTTCCGCAGACATGTGAGGCAATTGAAAATACTATGGCTTGGGTCAGGCGCAACTTAGTCATCAAAGTGACATCTTTGCTCTTCAGTTTTTCTCCGTTTATCATGATGTTGCTTGTTGATCCATAAAAACCATTAGAAAAATTTATTCAACTCTCTTCCCCTCATCCTCTAAGAAACAGAAACACTTATTTAGTGCCAAGTGTGTGCATAGCATTATACAAGGTAGTGGTCCTAGATAAAGATAGCTAAGGCAGCAGAAAAGATGATTTCTTATATGAAGTACTTTTCAGCCTCTTTTTAAAAAGGTAATATAGAGGTGTAAATTTGAGCATTGAGCATTGTGGCTTAGCTTCACCTTGCAAAGATAAGCAATTTCAAGGAGAAAAACACCTTTTTTATTTAGGACTTGTCCACGTTAATCCCTATTAATAGCACAATTGTGTTGTGTTTCTCCCGTCAGTCTACCACGTGTTCGAAAGTGTGGCCAAGAAGTACGATGTGATGAATGATATGATGAGTCTTGGTATCCATCGTATTTGGAAGGATTTGCTGCTCTGGAAGATGCACCCGTTTCCTGGGACGCAGCTGCTCGATGTTGCTGGAGGCACAGGTAGTAATCTAGTTTCGTATCCGTGGGTACCACTGAGCATCTTTTACAGAAGTTAATGTCTCTTGTTTGAATGACCTAGCTCACCTACCATTAGGCTGAAAATTGATACACTTAGAACTTGAGACAGGTACGCTGTTTTCTTTCTAACTGAATATCAATCAGAAGGACAGAATATCAGCTTTGTGTTTCTCACTTTTCTAAAATTCACAGGATTATAAAAAATAAAAAGACTAATTTTTTACTCCAGTGATGTTTTGCCATCTAAATGACTATTTTACCTTCTGTTTAACCTTTAACCCACTTTCCCTCTTATTTGGGGAGAGGTCTTTTACCATACTACACAAGCTTTCTAGGCAACCTTTTCTGCCTAATACACTATCACATCAGATATCGAGAGTTTAATTGTTTACGTATGGTCCTTTGTTACTTGAGTAGAAAAGTGTCGTGGGTTTCTAAATGCATCTCAGTAATGCCAGTGCCCTGGTTAAATTACAACAGATTTATTATAGGATTTGGGCTTGTGTTGGGTGATTTGGGGAGCCCTGGTGGCACAGTGGTTAAGGGTTCAGCTGCTAACCAAAAGGTCGGCAGTTCGAATCCACCAGGTGCTCCTTGGAAACTCTGTGGGGCAGTTCTCCTCTGTCCTATAGGATCTATAGGATCGCTATGAGTCCAAATCGACTTGACGGCAGTGGGTTTGGTTTTTTTTCTATACTATAAAGTATTACATAGCCATTTAAAAGAAAGAGGAAAACCTGTAAGTACTGATGGAAAGACATATTAAATGGGAAGGAAAAAACCAAGTTGCCTAACAATGTGTATAATATGATCCTTGTTTATATTTTTAAATTTTTTCATATGAGTACATGTAAACGTATTTTAATATTATAGAAAAGTGACTTGAGATACCTGACTGGATGGAGAGACTGGAAACACTTAAGAATATATTTCTTGCAAATAGTGCAAGAGAGAAAGACAAGGAAACAGCATTATAAGAAAGAGAATGTGATTCCAGAGATCACTGACTTTGCCCTGAACAGTTTTTACCTGGTCGCAATATTGGAAACACTTTTGATTTTCAGCTTTTAGGCCTAAACCATCATGGAAGACTTATTTGTAGCTATAGAACAAACAGTAAATGTTTCAGTCTTGAAATGTAAAAATACATGTGATGGAAGGTTGAAGGGAGTCAAGAGATAACGTCTATAGTTGTTGTAACAAGAAATAGAATAAGGATTAGTTTATTGCTCCAAGTTGCAAAAGTATATATGAGAAACTACGAAAAGTGTTGTAAGTATATTGAGAAGATGGGGCAAGCAGAGGTGGAGGGCAGGATATCATTATAAATTTGTTAAGTAAAGAAAGGAGTCCCTGGGTGGTGTGAATGATTAATGTGCTTGGCTGCTAACCAAAAAGTTGGAGGTTCAAGTTTGCCCAGGGGTGCCTTGGAAGAAAGGCCTGGCAATCTACGTCTTTAAAATCAGCCATTGAAAACCCTATAGAGTACAGTTCTACTCTGACACACATAGGGTCGCCATAAGTCAAAATCAACTTGATAGCAACTGATTAGTTAAGTAAAGAAATAACTGTAACCAATAGAAGAAACAGCTAAAAGAGTTAGAAGAGATGGTCTCTGGGGGAACTGAACTGGGAGTGAGAAGTTGTGGAGCAGGAAATTATTGCTTGTAACTATACACGTATGTTACTTTTATGAAAATTATAAGGAAAAGTCTGGAAGGCTATATACCAAGACACTTGAGATATCTGGAGAGGATAAGCAGAGGGAATGGGACTTTAATGTTTTATTGCATAAATTTAGATATTGAGTCTTTTCTAGTGAGAATGTGTCCATTCATTACTTATCCAAGTTTTCAAAAAAGTTTCATAAGAATTTTAGAAATTAAAAAATTACTGTTAAAAAAAAAGTTCTCATGGGACAACTCATTCAACTGGCATCACAAAGTTCATGTTCTACATCCTAGTGAGGTGAGTAGCATCTGGAGTCATAAAAGCTTGCAAGCAGCCATCTAAGATACAACTATTAGTCTCTACTTGTTGGGAGCAAAAGATAAAGACAGAAACCAAAGTCTCAGAGAAAAAACTAGTCTACAGGGCTGATAGCCTACGGGAGCCACGGCCTCATCTACCCTGAGACCAGAAGAACTAGACGGTCGAATGGACACAGGGAACCTGGGGTGGAAAGGGGGAGTGTGCTGTCACATTGTGGCGATTGCAACTAATGTCACAAAACTGTATGTGTAGAAATTATTGTATGAGAAATTAACTTGAGCTGTAATACAACTTTCACCTAAAAAGCACAATTTAAAAGAAAAAAAAAAAAAGGGAAGAGAAAAGAAGAACTAGATGGTGCCTGGCTACCCGACTGACCCTTCTGATTAGGGGCACAAGAAATGGACCCTGACAGAATGGGAGAAAAACACGGAACAGAACTCAAATTCTTAAAAAGTCCAGACTTAGTGGACCAGTTGAGACTAGAGATCTCCCTGAGACTGTTGCCCAAGACATATTTAAACCTTGAGCTGAAATCATTCCTTGAGGTCACTTTTTAGTGAAATAACAGATTGACACACAAAATAAAGGATATTATCCATGAGTACAGTGCTCCATTAAAAAAACATCTTTATGAGACCAAAAGATCAACAATTACTCCAAAGCACAGATGAGAAGTTAAACGGGCAGGGGAACTAGAGTACTGGAAACGGAACAACCAGAACGCAATTAAAGAGACTGTGACAGGTTGTGAAAAATGTAACTAATATCGCTGAACAATTCGTGTAGAAATTGTCAAATGGGAACCTAATTTGCTGTGTAAACTTTAATTGAAAACACAATAAAATGTCATCTTGAAAAAAAATTAACCACAGCAAAAAAAAAAATGTTTCCACTGAGATGAGTAGAAACTTCTGTTTTCAGACAATCATCAAATACTTTACCTTTGTTGCTTCTTTTGGTTTAGGAGATGCTGTTTCTTGTTTTTGCAGTTTTTGCCATCTTTCCTCCTGTTGGCTTCCCACAGGTGATATTGCATTCCGGTTCCTTAATTATGTTCAGGCTCAGCATCAGAGGAAGCAGAAGAAGCAGTTAAGAGCCCAACAGAATTTATCATGGGAGGAAATTGCCAAAAAGTACCAGAGTGAAGAGGACTCTTTGGGTGGTTCCCATGTCATGGTCTGTGACATCAACAAGGAGATGCTCAAAGTTGGAAAGCAGAAAGCACATGCTCAAGGATATAAAGCTGGTAAGTCCTCCAGAAAATAGATGCAGAGGAAGTACGTGCGCATTTATAAAATAAGACAGAATGTGTAAAGAACATTGAAATGCTTTCTTTTCCGGCTTTCAGAAACTTCTAGGTAGGAATTAAAAATAATTTGTGGGGCAGAGTTCATTTTGTGTGCTGTTATGTACATCATTTCAGTAAGTCGGTGAATTAGATTACCAGCCCCACATGATGGGGGAAATAACCAAAACCCAAAGACGGGAAGTGTCTCACTCAAGTCACACAGCTTTTAAATGGCAGAACCTGAACTGGCAGTGAATCTTCTGATCTCTTGGGCCCGAGACAGAAGTTTTGTTTTCAATTCCCAGCAGCTCCCAGATGACCCCATTGTATCATTCCTGTTCTGGTGCCATTCCATCCCCCATCAGTGCTAGGATAGTTTGATTGATGTGGAAGCTGAGCAGGCGCGCTGCTGGGATCCGGTAAAGAAAGGACTTGTTGGCAAGCCAAGGGCAGGCTCTTTGCACTGAGGGCCTACCAGTCTGTTCATTTTCTCTGTGGGACTCTTTAACAGGCTGTCTTTGCTCCCAAAAAAAAAAAAAAAAAAAAGTTGCCCTTGAGTTGATTCCAACTCATGGTGACCCCATGTGTTTCAATGTAGAACTGCGTTCCATAGGGTTTTCATGGCTGTAACCTTCAATAAGCAGATTGCCAAGCCTCTGGGTGGGTTCGAACCGCTGACCTTTCAGGGCTAGTGCTTAACCATTTGCACCACCCAGGGCTCCTTAGCTCACGTTTAAGTAGGCTGAGACTCAATCAGCTCTGCATTGCAGTCTAACAGCTTTCCCTGCCCAGTCTTGCTTCCTCTGGCTTTTCTCTTTCCTAGGTGTTGCTCCAAAAAAAAACCTTTTTTTGTTGTGGTGAATGTATATGTAACAAAACATTTGCCATTTCAACATTTTTCACACGTACCATTCAGTGACATTAATTGTGACCATCATATTGTGCAACCATCAGTGTTAATCTGTTTCCAATTTCTTTCCATCACCCGTAACAGAAGCTCAGTGTCCCATAAGCAACGAGCCCTTCTTCCCCCCTGCCTCCTGCCCGCCTCTAGTAACCACTAATAAACTTTGGTCTGCATACACTTGCCTCTTCTGAATATTTCATGTAAGTGGTCTCTTACAATACCAAAAAGCCTTTTGCAGTCCTGCCTCCAGCTCAGCATCTGCTTCTCAGAGGACCCAACTGATACAGTTGAGGGAACACCAGTAAACAGTGCTCCTCAAACTTCCCTACCAGAGTACTCTCAACAGCAGTTGGGAGAGTGACTGCATATCTCCAGGAGCCCACTACAAGCTCAATTGTTATCAACAATTGGTGCTCTATCTTAAAAATGTAAATTTCACATTTGACATTCTGTTTGTTTTCGTATTTTAAAATACTTTCCACCACCACCCCCAATTTTTTCAAGTAAAATTAACAATCAGGGAAGCTGCACCATGTTTACCCAGCTTTGCAGAGCCCTGGCGCTGCCCTCTTCCAGGATTGCCAAGCACTGCAAGCAGCCACTTGGAGAGGCAGTGCTATACAACAAGAAAATTAAAGTCCTTCAGGTCAGCATCAGCATTTTTTCTCCCCCTCCCTCCCCACCCATGAGTGTGTATGGTTATTTTAGCTCAATTCTTCCTCCTCTTCCCACCCCCAACGGAGCAGCCTAGACGAACCACAGCTCACTTGGCCCCCAAGATGAAGGACTCTTTTGTTAACCATCAACACTGATCAGGAGGCAAGCAGTCTAGTGTTCTGAGACAAAGGCACTGTGTTTCCTCACTCCCACTGAAGACACGTGTTTCCCTTCTCACTGGTGCTCAGCCATAAAGAATGGAGAACAAAGGTGCTGAAATGATAGGTGCCGTTCTGTTTCTGAAACTCTCTCTTCTTAGCATGGCTTGCCCTTCAAGCTGTCCTAACCGCCAAGCCTATCTACCTTCATAGGATTTCTAAGTATTGCATAGTACAGTCTTCTTTATCTTTCGCCTTTGCTTTATCAATCTCCAGTAACTGCCTTTGCAAAAAAGTATCATGCAAAAAAAGCTGAAACTACATAGGAGGATCCTAGATATTATTTAAGAAATGTAAAAGTTAATGTGTAAAGGCATTTTTATGTGTACCACTGTTAGGTGTGTGATGCCTCTAAAAAAATTTTTTTGACAGATTATAAAAGGGATATATTTGAGAGAAATAGTTTAGAAATCCAAAGTTTTGGAAAAGTATTAAGAAAGTAAAAGTCTTCATATATATAATAAAGCACATAGGGGACACAGCTACAGAGACTTCCTGGACATATCCAAATACCTCACAGGATTGGTTCCCTGGACTAAAAGGCTTAGGACCTGCAGTGTGATGGATTGCTTTTATGTGGCCTTTCTAGCCATGGTCTTATAACTGCCACCAAAAGATTGAGTGGGGCTATGCAAATAAGGTGCTTGTGGCCCACCAAGCAGATTGGACAGCTTGCTAATAATACAAAAAAGGTGCATGGCACCCTTTTGGGGGTGGGACTATGCAAATAAGGTATATGGAACCCTAACAAAGGGACTAGTCGGTTTTACCATCCTGCTAGATTTAAAATGAGCCGTCCCAGAGATGGAAAGTGGGGACCTGACTACAACCAAGAAAAAGAGATGGGAGCAGAGCTCATCCTTTGGAACTGGGATCCCTGTGCTGAGAACCTCCTAGACCAACGAGACAGAGAGAGAGCTGTAACACAGGAGACGGCGCCTAACAGCAAGAAGTAGTGGCAAGTGGCAGAGAGGCGGCAGCGGCAGAACCAGGAGACTGGTGCAAGATGGCACGGTGGGCTTCCTCTCCCAAGGAGTAAGGCAGTTACAGTGGGTGTGGTGACCCATGGAGCAAGCCTTCTTTGGGCAGGAGGCTTCCTGGAAGAGTAGGGTGCCTCCAGACACTTACCGGAGGAGCTAGGCATGCTGACCCACTAAGCAAAAGAGCTGAGTGCCTTCGGGCAGGAGGCTTCCTCGTGAAGTGGGGCACCTCCAGCCACTTATTAGCAGAGCTAAAGAGCTTTGTCTCACTTGCCCAAGCAGGGCAGGGACTGGGCTGAGGAGCCAAGGGCTAGAGAGAGGCCTGCCTGCAAGCACTGCTGAGAAGAGGCTGTCCTGATTGAAGAACTATATCCTGCATCCTTGATCTGGAATTGTAACCTGTTACTTCCCTAATAAACCCCATAACTGTGAGTATGGTCTGTGAGTTCTATGTGACTATTGCAACGAATTATCAAACCCAGCAGACGAGTAGAGAGTGCTGTGGGAGGGACAGCTGGTGTTAGAACTGGTAAAAGGGTTGGAGAGGGGAGGTATGTCTGTCCTCTGCCTCATAGGAATCAACTTTGGGCTGTTGATGCTGATCTTGATTCTCCTTCCCACTTGTGAAATTAGACGAGGAGGTCAGACGCCTCCGCCATGCCATTTTTACAGGACCATAATCTCGTAGGAGAACTCAGTCAGTTGGCCTAACATAGTTCATAAAGATAATTTTCTACATCCTAGTTGAGTAGCATCTGGGTTCTTAAAAGCTTGTGAGCATCCATCTAAGATACAGCTATTGGCCTCTACTCATCTGGAGCAAAAGAAAAAGAAGGAAAGTATTACTCAGAGAAGAAACTAGCCCACAGGATTAATAGCTCACACAAAACATGGCCTCTTCTAGCCTGAGACCAGAACTGCTGGTGCTCAGCTACCACTACTGACAGTTCTGACCAGGGACACAATAGAAGGTCCTGGATAGAATGGGAGAAAAATATAGAACAAAATTCAAATTCCTAAAAAAGGGCCAGATTTACTGGACCAATAGAGACTAGAAGAATCCCCGAGACTATTGCTCTAAGATACCCCTTGAACGTGGAACTGAAGCAACTCCCAGAGGTGCCCATTCAGCCAAATAATAAATTGGCTTTTAAAATAAACAATATCACCGATGAGTAATGTGCTCCCTTAAACAATCAACTATATGAGACTAAATGGTTAACATTTACCCAAAAGCAAAGATGAGAAGGCAAGGACAGGCAGGGAAGCTAGATCAATGAAACAGAATGAACAGAATGGAAACAATGAGAATGCTAACACATTGTGGAAATTGTAACCAATGTCATGGAAAAATTTGTATAAAAACTGTTAAATGGGAACCTAATTTGCTGTGTAAATTTTCAACTAAAACACAATATTTTTTTTTTAAAAAAGTCACTCATAATCCCAATATTGAGATGCCCCTCAATATTTTATTTCCTTCCTGTCCCTTTCCTAGTCATTCTTTTTATAAAAATTGAGAATATTTTGTACATATAACTTAGTATCTTGCGTTAAGTCAGCATTTAATCATGAGATTTTTCCATGTCATTAAAAATCCCTTAAAATAATTATTTTTATGATATCCCCCCATATGGATGTTTCATAATTCACATGACCAACTCACATAACAACCAGTTGATCTTTAATTTTTTCTGTTTTTGCATACAGCACAACATTGTGAATCCCTATTTGTAAATTTTTACATGCATCCGTTAATTTTTTTACTAATTGTATAACCTTGGACAAGTGCTTAAACTCTCTAAGTCTCAATTACCTTATCTATAAAATGGAGAAAATAATAACCATCTCATGGCAGGAAGCAATATACTATGGTTGTTAAAAACACACGCTCTGGGATATAACTACCTGAGTTCCATCCGTGTGACCCTGGGCAAGCTACTTTAACCTTTCTGATACTTAGCTCACCCAAAACAGGATGATGGTAATAACTATCTCATAGAGTTGGTGTGAGGATGAGATTAAATAATAAATATAAAGATGTATATAAAGTGATAGCAAAGACCCTGCCACGTAGTAGTGGTAGCAATGATGAGGATGGTGATGATGAGGATGATGGTGATGGTCACTATCCTAAAAATGAAATAGCTGGGTCAAAGGGTACACTTATTTTTAAGGCCCTTATTTTTAAACAAACTGCCAGTGTGCTTTCTAGAAAGGTTATTTTCATTTACCTTCTTCTATAGAGCCTTCCTGTTATATCATATGTCTAATTCATTGCTGGTTTAATGTTACAAGCAGAATCAGGATCCTTACAGGACACTGCAGATCTGACAGTGGGTGCCCTTGGGTGTTTTCTAGATTCATAATCAAGATCTGTGTTCTAGACACTTTGAGTCCAGTAGAAGCAATATAATAATGCTAACCACTCTACTACTGGCGATCTACTTCCTCAGGATTACAGCCACTAAAAACTCTATGGACCACAGTTCTACTCTGAAACACATGGGGTCGCCATGAGTTGGAATCACTCAACAGCAATGGGTTTTGTTTTGTTTTTTAACCACTATACTTAGAGTAACTCACTTAATCCTTCCAAAAACCCTATGAAGTAGGTGCTAGTTCATTTTACAGGTGAGCAAACTGAGGCACAGAGAGACAAAGTAGTTTATTCAAGATTATACAGCTAATAAATGGTGAAGCTGCAATTACAACATGAGCACTCTAAGCCCAGATCCTGGGCTCTTAACCACAGTGATCTACAGACATGACTTACTTAGTTGGACAAAAATTCCACATGAGGGCTTGTGGATAGGCATCAGATCTACTCCAAGCACCCTGGGGAAAGGACTTAGATCCTAGTAAGCTTCAGGAACACCAACTTCAAGTTGGGAATCCAATGGAGAAGGCAGGATTCTGAGGTGCTTGGGTGCAGAGGACACAGTCACCCAGACCAAGACCTAGAAATGATTTTCTTTTTTAGGACTTACTTGGGTATTGGGAGATGCTGAAGAACTGCCCTTTGGCGATGACAAGTTTGATGTTTACACTATTGCCTTTGGGATCCGGAATGTGACACACATTGATCAGGTATGAATGGCTGCATCCTCGGCTTGTGTGCCTCTCAGGAGATTAGTTCTCCTGGAGTGGATCCACAGTGAATGAGGAAAGAGGAAGAGGTTCTTCTCCAGGCCCAGCTCTTGAGTGGAATGACCTTTGGGCCATTCAATCCTTTACTCAATTCTTCTAAGTTGCCACTTTTCCTAGTCACAAAATTAGACTAAAACCTAAAAAAAACAAAAAAAACAAAAAAAACTGCAGAGCAGATCCCCATAGAGGCCTTGGTTTCTATGAGACCGTCTTGGAGACTATCAGTCTTGTTCTGCCATTTCGCCTGTTTCCTCTCACTTATGAAGCTGTCTGACTCTGTGAGTTTGCAGAGCAGAGACATGTCAGAGGTTGGAGTTATCTGACAGAAAAAGGCATCAAACCTATTTTCGCAGAAGGCAACTAGCGTCATGGCCCCTCTATGAAGGGAATATTCAACTCTTAATTTGATGCAGTTCTTCGTTTCCACTTTAACATTCTATTCAAAACATTTGAAGACCATGCGCAAGGCACCTGGTTCCATTCCCTGGTTCCTCTGCTTTGAGTGGGACGTTATGGTGCTTTTCAGCTTGATTTTTATGACCTTTACTGTGTCTCTAGCCAGCTTATTATTTCTTTTAATTAAAAAAATTTTTTTGAATAGGTTCAAAGTTCAAAAAGTACAAAAGGGTATATACTGAAAGTGTCCCAACTTGTCTCCCAACCACTGAGTGCCTCCTCTCCCTGTAGACAATCACCAGTTTGTTATCGTTGTAAAGATGTTTTGTACATATTAAGTGTTTTTATTTTTTTTAACACAAAAACTAGCATGCTAAACATCTCACCTGTTGTTTTTTTCCCTTAAAAATATATCTTGGAGATTCTTCCACATCAGTGCATAAAGCGCACTACCTCCTCTTTTAATAGCTGGGTAGATTCCATTTGTCTAGATATTCCATAATTTAATCAGTCTCTGATTAATGGTTAATTTAAGATGCTTCTAATCTTGTGCTGTTCAAACAGTGCTGCAGTGAATAACCCATATACGTGTCATTTCCCCAATAGAAGCATTTCTGTAAGATAAGTGGAATTGCTAAATTGAAGAGGATATCCATTATAACTTTGATAGGTAATTCTGAAATTGCCCTCCCTGGAGGTTGCAACAGTCTGCAGTCAGTTCAGATTACCCCAAGTAACCTTCTCTAACCTCAGGCAGCAGAATGCCTAATAAAATTTAGAATATGGTAAGACTATTTCTGAGGAGCCCTGGTAGTGCGATGGTTAAGTGCTTGGCTGCTAACCGCAAGGTTGGCCGTGCGAACCCACCCAGCAGCTCCACAGGAGAAAGACCTGGTGATCTGCTTCTATAAAGATTACAGCCAAAAAAAACCCCATGGTGCAGTTCTACTCTGTAGCACATGGGGTTGCCATGAGTCAGAATCAACTCGACAGCACACAACAGGGCTATTTCTGCTCTTACAGCTTCCCAAGAGTAAACAAGGGGTCTGTGGCAAATGATAACTTTTATAATGCTCACTGAAGCTAAAGCTGTCTCGGCCTTATGAAATTGAGTAAGGTCTCCTGAGAAGTATATCCTGTTGTTCCTTGTCTCACTCAGGCACTCCAGGAAGCCCATCGGGTCCTGAAACCAGGAGGACGGTTTCTTTGTCTGGAGTTTAGCCAAGTGAACAATCCCCTCATATCCAGGTTGGAATTGTTAACAGGGCTTTATTCTCATTGTCTAGCCAAGGGTTTCCCAAATGGATAGAATGAAAATAGAAAACAGCCAGTGAAGCTTTGTACTCTCCCACCTCATAGTTCAGATTCCCCAAGGGATGGTGCCACCTCAGAGGTCAGCCAGTTCTGAATGACAACACCTAGGCCGGAGAGTCACAATCCAATAACCAGAGGCTCAAGTTGGCCCACATATGTATTTTGTTGGACTCACATACTGTTTTTTTAAAAAATGGAATTTTCAGGGAATTTTCCATAAAAATCAATTTCCAGCTTCGAGAAAGCAGACCGTATGGCAACCCTGGGTAGGCTCATATTCCCACATGGCAACAGTCAGAGCCGAGTAATAATGCCCCTTCTCCGTTTTAACGGTCCTTCCTAACTGTACTATTCACCACATCCTCACCACTCCCTATTGATCTTACACCTGGCCCACTTCACTTATTTCAGATACTTGTTTGTCCCCTGTAACCATTTGAGTTTTTGACTCCAGGCCTAGACCTTGCTTCTTGACAGAAGAAATGGAAATTGAGACATGTTCTAATCTTAATCTCTTGCTTTTTTGCTTAGGCTTTATGATCTATATAGCTTCCAGGTCATTCCTGTCATGGGAGAGGTCATCGCAGGAGACTGGAAGTCCTACCAATACCTTGCAGAGAGTATCCGAAAGTTCCCGTCTCAGGTATAAACGTTCTACAGCTTACAAATGCCCTAAGGATGAAATCCAGACAATCCTTGCTGTATCTTTCCTTGTGTTTTAGGAGGAGTTCAAGGAGATGATAGAAGATGCAGGTTTTCAGAAGGTGACGTATGAAAGTCTAACATCAGGCATCGTGGCCATTCATTCTGGCTTCAAACTGTAACTCCTTTCCGATCCTGTCAAAAGCCTGGAACTGAAGGGTAATCCGGCTAAGGAGGCCAGCAGCAGAACATCTCCTCTTAAGGATGTGTGCCTTGAACTCATGTTGAGTGACCAGTCTCAAAGTGGGAGAAATCAATTTCTGTCACTTTATTGTAGCTTTCATTAGGAGCCATTTCAGACCTTCTCCCAGGGAGGATATCTGGTCTGTTTTTTTGCTCAAATCCTGCTAACTTTTCTTGGCTGTGCAGTATGTGGTTGAGGTAAAACCAGCACTAAAGCTCAGGTTTGAGGTGTATTTATAGCTTCCCTGTCAGTGCTGCCTTCCAGGGGGATAAAGGATCATTTGAAATCAATAATTTGAACTAGAAAATTTCCTAACTGTACCTGAGTTAACCTTTCATCCTAGGACTGAAGCTGGGGCCAAAAGTGAAGGCCCAAGTCAAAGGGCTAGCAGTAACTACTAAAGTTGTGTGCTGAACCAGTAACTGAGTTTACAGTTTACAGTGTTTGTCAATTTTCCTTGGGAAGAGAGTGGGAAAGTATATTCTTTCCATTCTCTTCAACCAAAAGACACAATTGTATCCTCAGTGCCTATCATAAGGAAACAACTCACTAAATACTTGCTGAAAGAATAAATGTACCAGCAAACTCCTGCTTTCAAGTCTTCTATAGCAAATTCTTTGGAAGAAAACATTTGCAGAAAGGGTTTCATAGCAAAAAAAAAAAAAAAAAGTTTGAAAACTGTTCATTTAGCCTAACCACCTCCAGTTACTGGGGCAGAGCGCTTGTTTCTCATTTAATACAGTCCCCTCTTTGATGTTAAAATGAAGCCATAAATTTTCAGAGTGCAGATGAAATTTAATGTTTTGGGGAGGCCTTGCTAAGAAATTGCAGAAGTCTAGCAGTTTGTCAATTGTGCGTAGCTTAGTTCAAGGCTATTTGAAAAAGCTTTAGATATGGTGCTTCCTGGCCTAGCAGAGTATGGTTTTTTTATGTACTGTCACTAACAGTATCTAGTCCTGTCACTCACTGAAAAGCTCTAAGATACAGCTATCTATATATAACCTACCTTGGAGAACAGCAGCTAAGAGCATTTGACAAAATACTAAACTTTAGAAAAACTTTTAGCATACATCTTTTCTTCAGCCAGCTGGAGCCTATTGGCCTTTAAAATTAACAGGAAGGAGCAGGCACTGGAAGGAACTTCATAAACCATCAGCCCAGTCCTATCTCTATGGTAACATGGTTTTCTCACATCTGAATCAAAAAAGAGTTAAAGGCTACCTCTTACTGACAGTTGATATGGGCCAGATTAAATCAGAACCCCTAACGTCAAGCTGTCTGAACTTGATCAGCTCTAGGGTCTGTACTGGGGACATACCAGTTTGGAATAGGCTAACTGTGGACAAGGTTGATAGATACAGCTTAGGAATACAAATAAGTTTCTGTTGGGCTTCAAATAAAAATATGGCCATGTCATTAGAGAGGGAAAGGTGATAGAAAAAGATGAACTACGATAACATTTTTTAGTCAGCTTACACAAATACAAACCTAAATCGCCTGAATCGCAGTTCCACAGTGCCTCACCTTTTCCTGCAAAGACAGCACAGAAAAAACTCCCATTTTTACTACCACAATAAACAGTAAAACAAAGTATTGCTCCTCTACCCTGAAACTCTCCAGTAGCACAACTTCATTAGGACATCTAAAACCCTAAGTTCTGGTAAACTTCAAAAGATGTTACTAACCTAATGCTACTCTGGAGATGGAGTTGCCACTTTTCAATTCAAATCCATTACTCCCTTCTGTGTAGAGGCAGCCTGGCTGCTCATAAATCCTAACTACATCTTATAGGTCTCAACGAAAGGTCTTAAAAAGCTCACCTGAACACTGAGAACAATGTAGGATACCTAGAAAGCCAGGATGCTCCTTGCAATTTCCCAAGATGGGTGAGTTGTTTCAGCCTCTGGCTATTTCTTTTCCATCTATAAAAGCCAACTCTGCCATACTTGCTTTTCTTCATAGAAAAGACTAGACTTCCTAAAATTGACAGCAGGAAACTGTTAATGGTTACTTATCCACAACTTTAACTAGGTCTTTTTATTAAAAAAGCAGGAGAAAGATGTGGAAGGCGGCTTCCGTAAAGATTTACACCCTTGGAAACCCTATGGGGCAGTTCTACTCTGTCCTATAGGGTCACTATGAATTCCAGTCGACTTGACATCAATGGGTTGGGTTTTTGATAAAAAAAGCTTCAGTTCATATTTGTTAATTGGTTTCTAACCACCGCTAGTTAAAGCACAGCACAGCAGGCTAACATTTTAAAATTCCTACAAAGACTTTATTAGAACCATACGGAGGGCTGCTGCTCACAAATGCTTTCAATACCAAGGATTCGAACCGGTTCTAACCTGTTGAATTTCATTTCCATCCAATATACTGAATCAGAATCTACAATTTAACAAGATCCCCAAGTGACTCATATGTATTAGATTTTCAGAACCACTGCTCTACTAGTTCTCAGAATTGGTCCCTAACCAACAGCCAGTATCACACCTGGGTAATTGTTAGAAATTCAGATTCTCAGCAGGGGTTCAAACTGGTTTAAGGCCCTGTTAAATATCACCTTCAAATCTTTAGAGCATTCTCTTGGGGCGGGGTAAGGGGTCGAGTAGCATTTAAGGCCCAGCAAACCATCTCTATTTCAATTCTGAACTCACATCCATTTTACAGATGTAAAAAGCTCAGCTAAAGTACTACTACTACACATACACCACCACCACCTCAGACATAAGGCCCACAACATTCTACCTCAACACCTTTGAACAAAATCAGCGCTTAAGGTGAGTATTTACCAGATTAGGAGTAACATTACAAGTTTCTCTGCTGTGCTTCTCAACCTGTATTTCTATGCATGACACTTGCAGATGGCTGAGACGTTAGGTACTGAATAAGCTATCCCACAGAAACTCACCTTAAGGACTCACCCCACTAACCTAGCCACCTGATTAAATGATAGGCCACCTTCAACCCTAGATTATTTGAACAAATAGTAGCTAACAAACACATCTCCAACAGATTTATTATTTTTCTTTTAAAGGAATGGATTGTGAGGGAAGAAAAAATATGAGGCAGGGGAAAGTATGGAATAGAAAATAAATACAAATGTAAGCCGGTTTGCTAACTCTTTTATAACTACAACAAACTAGTACAGAGAAGGTCCTGTACAAAACAACACAACAAAGGTTCAAAGATGGAGGTGTTCCCTTAGCAAGGCTGAAAATTTCAGTCTCTGGTATTTGGAATTTAGGCTACAGTCCTTGTTTTTGGATGGATCACTGGGTGTGTGGGCAATGTCCATGCTTTAACCAGATTTGAACAGAAGAATGGCCACTTGGCCCAGGTAGAAGTAGATGAAGTGCTTAGTTTCATGTGTCACGTAACTACCAAAGTTTCTCCCCACGATGCAGTGCCAAGTGGGGTTGTACTTCTTGTCAAACTCCTGAAATAAAACAAAAAAAAAAAAATGAGAACACTAGAATGTTAGTACTCAACTGGAGGTCAGAGCTTGCCTCTTGGATAAGTCAGAGCCTGTAGGGGCAGAACGGAGGAACGTTAGCATCTGCAGATTCTCGGAATGAAAGAATGTTCCCCAGCTCCAAGTCGCCTACGTAATGCATTAATGCAAACATACTTGCAGTCTGAGCTAAGATGGGAATAAGGAGGGCTGGGCAAGTGAATGGCAGAAAGTGCAGCCTCAAAGACAGGGGGCTCTTTGTTGTAATAATTCCACCTTCATAACTTCTACAATATTCATTAACAAGTAACAACAGTTAGCGTTTATCATGTTCTTATGTATAAACAGAACTAAGGTATCCTACCATCATACCTGCCCCCATGCACCCGAAATGCAAGAAAATGGTAAACAGTTAGCCCAAAGTACCCTATTAGAATTCATTCCTTATCACAAAGATTTTAATTGCACTCCTATTATCATAAAAAATAACTGACTTCCCAAAGGACAAAGCCTCAATTAGCACCTAAACCAAAGCGCTGAGAAATCAAAATTTAAACTTAAGGAAACAAGACACTTAGCAATCCAGTCCCTATAAAAAGAATGATGGAAGCAGAATCTGAGAGCCAAGTGGTCAAGTTTCCACCTTAATTATAATTTAAATAGCTCTCCTTTCCACATCCATCCTGATGGTGCTACTCCACCACCTGGTCCACAAGGATAGCAAGCTCCAAGAATAACTTTTCCGTATTTCCCCCTACCCCAAGGGGCTGTAACATACGTTATTACTTTCTTCACTAAGTAGACTGTGTAGACAGGGACCAAAGCTAATCTATTCCTATAAAATTCGCCCAAGTTTTTGTGATGAGTTAAGCAAAATTTGGCTACTGTTAAGACTGTATGCAGTGCAAAAACCTCTTTTAAGTCTATTAACAACCTAGACGAATGCACTGCGCTGCGTTTGTCAGAAAAGGTATTTATTTCTGTTCCATCTGAAGTCTTTCACCTTCCCATTCTCGACTGGAATCCTCCCACGGCTTAGGCTGCCAGCTTCCTTCCCTTCCAGCAAACATGGCACGATAAGTTGGCAGTCCTTCCAGCTTTCTACAGACTGCCATTTACCAACCCCCCGGCCCCCAACCACCACTACCACCCACTTTCCCTCAACTGTCGACTGACTCCCCACTGGAAGGCTGGCAAGCTCTCCCTCAGGCCCCGGCTGGAAACACCCACGCAGCTCCCCCCCCTTCGGAACACCCAGATGGATCCTCGGCACAGGAATCATGCAGAAGGGGGGACCGCTGCTCCCTGATCCTAGAAACCGTTGCTAGGTGGCGCTTTTCCCCGCGCATCGGTGGTAATAAAAAAACTTCGGGCGCCGAGGGTCTGGTCTTCCCCAGAGGAGCCCAAAATTTGATTACGTCCTTTCTGGAAACCTCTACGTCTCCAAGCCGCCAGCGTGCCCCAAGGATCTCTGCCAGGCGCTCTGGGGTCGCAGGATCCGGGAGAGGGACTAAGTTGCGACTCGCCGAGATGCGCGCAAACGGCCCGGACCCCGCGCCCCGCTCTCACCTTCTTGATATGGGCCGCGATGTCTTTCTCTATGTTATACTTCTCCAACGCCTGAGTAGCGCACTCCACCGAGTCCTGTTGCATCTCCTCCGACATGTCCGCATTTTTGATCACGGCCTTTCGGTCGCACATGGTTACCTGGGGAACGAGGCCCCGACACGAATGAGAACCCGAGGTGTGAGCCGCGCCTCCGAGGCGCCGGCGCCCCCAGCCCGCCCCCGCGCCACACTCGGGACGACGCCCCCAACCCACTACTGAAGAAGCACCAGCCACGCGGACCGCACGGTCAGAGGTCTGGCGCGAGGGGAGGGCGAAACCAGGCAGCGAGGCGCCCCTCCCCCCCGGGACCACTGAGTCTCTCACCGTGGAGCAGGGACTGGCCAACCGCGACGGTGTCCTGGGGGAGGGGTTAGAGTGGCTCAAGCCCAGGAGAAGCTGCCGTCGCTACTAAAGCCGTGGCGCATCTGAGCCGCCCCACGCCAGCCGCCACCGCCTAGTGCCCAGGCCCCGCCCTGCTCCCCACGGCCCCGCCCCCCGCCCTACGTCCCTATTGGCTTGACTCAGCCCCCAGGGCTCTCCGATTGGTTGTCGGACTCAATGGTTCCCCTAG